AATTCTTTACTCCTGTCAATCAAAAATTCAAAATCAACATTCTGACCAATCAGAATGCTCCGGCACCCAGCTGCCGGGGAGAACTCAGAATGTGTAGTTTTTGGGCAGGCGGTATTTCAAGCTTCCCATTCTCTCGTGCCCGCGAATACCGCCTGCTACGCAGCCTAAAGTGCGTTCTTCTTGGCAGTCATTTATTGCTGTAATTATCGTAAAAGATATGACCTGGTGAAATAGGAGGTATAGAAAGTGCATGGTATATTTATCATCATGGTGTTAATATCAATGGGATATGCTAGCTGTATATTGTAAGTGCGTGGGTTTGATTAAGTTACTTTCTTATCTGTCATTGTAGACATGCGGCATAAATCCGGCTGGGTTTTACTTTGTTGTTGCATGTATAATACGGGAAAGCTCAGGATCCAAGGAGCATGAAACATTTTTCCAGGTCTGCCAGCAACTTTGCCTTTGGTCTTATTGTCGTTTACGCGGTAATTAATGCCCTTGCCAGGTTAGATCACGACAGGTGCTAATTAAACTATGCCGATGATGGAATAGTATCAGTTGCAAGTTTCATATCTTCGGTTCAGTGAATGCCATGTAGATGAAAATATCACCGTTCGAGTCAGTGAAACAATATCAACTAATTTCTAACGATAGTTTTAGTGAGTTAAACACTATAGCGATTTATGACTTTGAGGGTCAAGCAATATCATATTTTAATATAAATTGCATAATTTGTTCGAAAAATGTTAACAATCTATTACAGTACCCCAAGTATATGTACTTGAACTTGTGGTTAGAGCTGGACAACTAGCCTCTGTAGCTGGGTTTAGAGCGCTGCGCCATAATCGCAGGGCAGCGGGTCCAATTCCTGTCAGGGACCTTAAGTTGCATAAGTCACTTAATGTAGCTAATTAGTATCGTTTTGAATCGTTTGTATTGTACTATATGTTCGTTTTGTAGTCTTAGAGTTGTTGTCGTTGTTGTTATTGTCGTTTGTCGCTTTTGCCATTGTTGTTGTTAATAACATATAACAACATCATTCTATAATCACCGCCTAATATATGTGTCATACAGTGATTATGAAGACTAATTTCTTGTAAATAAATATAAATATTATCTAGTTTTTCAGTATATATAACTCCTCCTAGTGTAGTAATGTATAATACTGTTTTAGGAGTATTTCATTAAAGCATTAAAGCATGCATTTTTCACTTCTGTTCCTGGTTAGGTCTAATAAATGTATATAAATTTCCACTCGACAATTTCCATCTACAATACCCATCAAATATTACTAAGCCATACCTTTCGCCGAACATAACTTCGGCTCCTTCGAATCACAATCCAAAACACTATTCGGAGTGTTATTTTCAAGCTTGTTTTGTATCTTTTATTTCGGTATTTCAATCTGTAGTAATATTATGGTAGTCAGCGGGATATTTTTGACCGGACATAGAATTTTTAATTTGCCAAGATATTGCGCGTTTGCACTCTAGGAGTACGGAAACACCGGAAAACGATTCTACAGGTCAAAGTACTTCCTGGAGACAGTCCTGCAGCACCTGCATGTATATGAGTTTGTATGTATTTCATTTAGGACAGATAATCTCAAATGTTTTAGGGCAAGTTGACCATGACAGTCAACATGGTAACGCTGCCCGAACCCCAATCCGGGACGAAACGTCGGAAACTGACCACACCCAAAAACTACGCTTTCGCCATAGTGTTATCAACCAAACCATAAAAGCTTTGGCTATTCTGAGGTGCTTATATGGTTCAGAGATAGTTGTTTTAGGTGTGGTCCTTGGTAAGTGTGAAATGCCTAGCCTGATATTTCACAAGAAAATGACCATGCAATACTCATAGTCAAACGTCAATTTGTGGCTTACAACTTCAAATAAACAGCAGTGGATCTACATTACCTATGTTCCTAAATCTTTTTGATAGAAACATAATTGGTACTTATTTAATTATATTATCACTGTTTTGGTGTAAAATAGTTAATATTTTGGGAAATAATAATTTGAAATGTACATACCTCCTGCAAATGAACGTATTTGGCCAAATTCTCCACTTTACTCCGCTGTTCATGCCCGATCTCGTTGAAATCCTTCCAAGTATGCAATTCACGATTAGCTCAAACATAATGGTATCAAGCACATTTTAAACAAGTTTCAACTTGGTTTCAGGTAGATCCTAGCTGTTTAACCATCGACAAGGTAAAACCTCAACTTTGTCCAAATTCGGCGCCATTTTGTCATCCCGTGTTGGTTGTAAACAATTCGGCCTTGTTATTCTTCCATCCAAGCCATTTCCATCAACGAATTTAACCCTTTGTTAAGGGTATTAAAATAAAAATACAAATGAAATACGCGAAATGCAGCATTTTATCACCCTGTAAAATGTTGCTTACGAGTCCTTCTAAACATTTCGTACAAATCTCGCGTGATTTAGTAACAGATGGGTGGAGACTTGAAAAATGAAAGCAAAGTCCAACGCAGTATGGTAAAACCCAGGGACGTAGAAACCGGGGAGGGGAACGGGGGGCACGTGCCCCCCACCCAATTTTTTCAAAGAACTAAAAGTGCCCTTTTTTGTGATAAAGAGTGCCCTTTTTCAGACCTGCCAAGGTTCCCGCAATTCGCGTGAAAGTTACGCATTCTGGTTTTGTCCCCGCTGTCCCGCACGCATAACTAAAATGATCTTAAAGTTACGCATTTTTACCAGTTATATGACGCTATCCCACTTTTCATACAATAACTCATTGACACAAGTCATTTTTTAATACCATGGAGTGGTGGGCATTTGCCCCACTGGCCCCTTCCTCTGCCCCACCACTATTGCCCCAAAGCCAGGGCCCTAGGACCTGTATTGAGTAAATAAGTTTAACATTGAAAAGAAGTTTAAGAAACAAAATTTGTTGGTATTGAGCGTACTTAAATTTACGTTGTATTTGAATGTTCAGCAAGCAATTTATTACAAATTTCACCATTAAAGCTTTTTGTTTTGAGAAGCTTAGATTCATTTTAAATTTTGTTCTCAGAATGCAGGAAATGCTATTTCAGAGACCCAAATTTTAAACTTTCTTTGGGGGCTATTCCTCTAGACCCCCTGGCTAACTCATGCCAGCGGTACTAGGCTCACAGGCTCACATCTTCGGCGATCACATAATATCTTGGGGAGGGGGGGTGGACAAGAAAATGGACCCTTTGGCAGTTTTGCCCTACCACTGAAGAATTCTTAAAATATGCACTGAATTGACAACCCTGTCTGCAAACGTAGAATTAGAGTTAACAATCGACCAACCAAATAAAGACGTTCAGACGCATCGTGGCCTGGGGGTACATGGCCAAATACGCTTTCTGACGATCTGGAGACTCAAAATTTCCAAATTTTTCTCAACTTTTCCTAGCCACATTAACTGTAAATAACACTTTCATATTGATCAGTAGTTATTTTACTTATCTTCGTTGTTAAGCATCTAACCTCCCCCCCCCCCCAAAGTCCTCGCAACGGCCCTGGTCATGCATTCTTATTTTCCGAACTTGGCAGGTCTGCCTATTTGTTCGCAAATTTCCAAGTTTTTTAAAAAAAATTGGTCAAAAACGTGCAATTTCGGTATGGTATAACGGGAAAATTTTCTCCCCTTCCCCCGTCGCCAACATTCCCGGGAAAATTTTTTTAGGTGCCCTTTTCAATATCCTAAAGTGCCCCTAGAAGTCGGTGCCCCCAATCTTTTGATGCTTCCAGGGCCGGCAAGAGGGGGGGGGGGCAGGGGGGGATTGCACCGGGCCCCGAGGTGTTGTGGGCCCCTGAAACATTTTTGTTGGGCCCCAGTCTTTTTTGTGTGTTAAATATTTCCGCGCAAAGGACAAGATATCTGTTTTCTTGGGCTAAGTACCGAGATTTGGCTGAAAAAATGAGATAAAGTCCGTGGAAAGCAATTGCAACGTACTTGTCCGGAAAAATTTTTTAGTCTGGAAAAATTTTTTTTAGCCCTAAATGGTACACTGGGCGAAAATTTTTTGGCGACGGGGGAGGGGGAGGTTGTTGTCCTGATAAAATTTTTTTCCCCAAAAAAAAATTTGCCCCCGGCTCCCGCCAACCTCTCGGCGGCCCTGGATGCTTCCTACACCCCTGGTAAAACCAACAATCAAGATTTCATTTGTATGACTTGTTCATATTAATAAATAATAATATGTATTTATTTGTCGCTTCAAGAAATAAAACAAACGTTTGTATGATTGTATTTAGTTTTTAGTCTATTTCACGCAGCCTTCTTCTATCTTCGTGAAAAAATTCACCCCCTCCTGTCACGGCCCTGTCACTTTGTCACGCGAGATTTGTACGGAATGTTTTGAAAGACTCGTAAGCAACATCTTACAGGGTGATAAAATGCTGCATTTCGTATATTTCATTTGTACATGTATTTTTATTTTAATGCCCTTAACAAAGGGTTAAATTTTTTATATTCGTTGACGGAAATGGCTTGGATGGAAGAATAACAAGGCCGAATTGTTTACAACCGACACGGGATGTCTCAAACTTTGATCAAATTTTTCCGAGTTTTACCTTCAATTTTAAACAAATATCAGTTCCATTTTGACCAACGTTTGGCAAATATCAGTTCCATTTTGACCAACTTTGACCAATGTTTCAATAGGTATTTAAATTGTGATTTTCTTCTCCTGATGCATGTGAACGATCGAGTTGATGAGTCAGGAATGTTTAGATCAGGGTACACATACTCAGAGCATTCATAACCTTTTTTATTCGTTCATTAACATCTATCACAAGAAGAAAATTGCATTAGAAATCGCAGCAAAAATTGCAAATGTAAACGGGCCTTTAGACATTCCATTGCGCAGCTAAAAGTCCGTCGCTAAGTTTAAACGAGTTAGTTATATGCGCAATTGTTGCAGGAACAAAAGACCGTTATGCAATTATAAACCTTTATAATATTTTATTTTAAAATGAACTATTTTAATGACTATTAATTGGGAAAACTCGAAATTGTGTGAAAAGAGTACTATAATAATAAAACTAACTATAATAATAAAATGTGGCTAACGAAATTAATATTTTGCATAATTACATATGACAGAAATCACATTACTTTGACCATGGAACAGTGACACTAATATATGATGACGTAAATTGATTTCTGGAATGAAATCTACAAACTACTTACTATGGTACTTAACTTTTCATATGTTCGCTGATGTAAAAAGTAATATGACTATATTACAGGAGTATAAAATATTAAGAGATTATTTAACATATCTTTGCAAATTTCCAAAATGAAAAACAAATGTTTGCCAGGGATCGGTTGTTCAAAGCTGGGTTAGCGCTAACCCTCTGTTAAAATTTAACCCTCGGTTAATCTGCTGTTTTAGTTTATGTAGTTTTCTGCAGAGAAGAAAACGCCTGTTGATTCAGACAAGATCTTCAGGGAAAAACAAGCTGTTGAAAAGTATGCTTTGAATTTTTGGTTAACCTAGGGTTAACCTAGCCCAGCTTTGAACAACCAGTCCCAGAAAGCTAGAGCTTGTACTTGCGCAGGCGCATAACTTCAAAAACCAAGAATTTTAATTAGAGATTAACGAAAAATAAACGTCCGCCGCAATGCCATTCTGTAAAGCGTTTATTGCCGAGAAAACTTTTCTTGCCGAAAGTCTGTGCCGAAAGTAATTAAGCTACGCTTGCTTCGGACGTTTATTTCAATATCATCTCGTTCAGTCGACGATAATCTTAATAAACAAGACATCATCCCTGATGTACTGACGATTATTCAAGCTATCGAGTGGCATAAAAAGAGGGGAACCTGAAGCGATATTCATGTCAGACTTCGGACGTTGAAAAGATGAACTTTGAGGGTCCGAATTAAACGCATCAATCATATGATCTCCATTGCCTTGATCCAACAGCATCATCGTGATCTTCTTTTGGAATGGCCAGGTTTGAACAGCGTCGTAGTCGCCTCTCATCACAACAAAAAACAACGACAAATGC